CCGCAGGTAAGAATTATAATCAGAAAGCACTCAAGGGGCCCAGGCCCACGTGGGAGAAAGAGAAGAGCTGTTGATTTTATTCCAGAGTTTAATTGGTATAATTGCTCTCTTCCTCCTGCAAACCTAAGTTAGGATCGCCTCTCCCACTTGCCAAAGGAGCTGCTCAGAAAGGTCTGGAGTCCCACATGGTGGATACTATTGGCTGTCCAGAGGCTCCTTTAGTTCCCTCTACCTCTAGATGGCAGGGGAGCCTAGGACCCACCAACCTCAAAAGACTGGGGACCCCAGGGAGCCTGACCCCTGGCTCAAGGGGGCTGGGGTGTCTTCAGTGAGTGTCCATCCTCTCAGAAGCCAGGAGGGGAAAGAACAGGTGAGAGTTTTCTGTAGTCAAGGTGCTGAGCCTTTGGAGTCTCCCAAGACTCAAAGGATCCTGAGAGGGGCAGACAATGTCCAAGAAGAGGGAAGGAAGCAGAAGTCAGTATCGCTCCTTCCCTTCTCCTGCCGCCCCTACCATTCTGCCCTGGGTTCCTCGGGAATCCACCTCGATGGAGGTGTTTTATCCTCACCACCAAAACCACCAGGACCTGCAATTGCTGGGTGCCTAGTTCATCCCTGAGGTCAGTAGACCCCCAGACCAACACTGTCTTTTGTGGGACCCACTTGTGAGTGTATAGTGCATGTGCCAGCATGCATAAGGAAGAATTCCCACACATTCACAAGGAAGAATCAACTTTCCAAATGCCTCCTGAGCTCACAGAATAAAAGATTGTTTCCCCTTGCCCTGCCCTGCCCCATTTCCTGCCTGCCTTCTAGCTCTCTCTCCCGCTGTACATCCACAGAGCCATCTGCTTGGTTCATCCCAGTCTCTGCCCTGCTTCCCAGGCCTCCTGCAGTTTCTCATCCCTTTGATCCAACTGTGCTTTGGGGAAGTACATGTACTTTGGTGTCGGAGAACCTGGTGCAGCTCTTTAGCTTACTAATTGCATGACCTTGGGCACCTTAATTGCTATGTAAAATGGGCCTACTCAGAGACAATGCCTGGCATCCTGGAGGACACAGGTCACCTACTTGTATCTGGCACTATATCTATCTGTCATATGACACATGCTCAATAAATGGAAACAATCACTATTCCTGGAGTCATGCAGGTATAGAGTTTCTGCTGGTCCAGGGCTTCAGGGAAGGCAGCATCGCCCTTCTTGCAGCTTCATGGTTTTGTGAATTTACCCACTGAGTAGGCAGTTGTAGAGGACAAGGCACCCATATCCAGGGGGTTGCTGGACCTTATCAATTCGACCTTGTAAGGATGTCTGGAATCTGCACCCCTTTCTCGTCCATACTACCCCAGTTCCTACTTCTTGTTATTCCTGCTTCTCCTTGTCTATGCTTCACCTCCCCTTAAGAAGACCATCATAAAAGCAACTTTTATGGGGTCCTAAACAAGACTCAGGGAAACCTGGGAACAAGATGCTACCCACACTGAGAACGATCAGGATCAGGAGAACACTTTGGGCATCTGCTGAGAATGGAGAGGCGAGCCCTTGAGGTGATAGGAGGGGCTCTTCCACCTTCCTGATATGCCTGGCCAGGCTATCATTTCAGAGCTTGAAGGTAAGGGATTCAGAAAATATTCATATACTCATTTGTTCAAAATGTAGTAAGTGTCACTTGTCCACTCTGCATTGTGCTAGGTGCTAGGAATTCAGAACTGAACATAGAGTGTGCTGTTGTCATTAGCATAGCCTGGAGAATGAAGTAGAGTCCTTGTCTTCTGGAGTAATTGATGATCAAACCTAAGAACAAGCCTCTTCTGGCCAGCTGAGCATTAACTTCAGGAGGAAATGACATTAAGTCCTCCTCTCTTGTCTAGTTATGATTATTAGAACAGAATGTGAGAGGTTCTGGAAGACCACGCTCCATGCTTTAACACACAAATGTGCTTATGAATCAATGAGTCAGCTGCAAATCAGATTAAAAATCCATGTTCTGATTTAGTAAGTCTGGAGTAGGACCTAAGATTCTGTATTTCTAATAAGCTCCCAGGGGAAGCTTAGGCCCATGTACCTGTTGTGAAGCTAAGAAAGACCAAGAGGAAGATCTGACAGGTCCACTGTTGTTCCTAATGTCATGGTTCAGGGTGGGATGATGGGGCCAGAATGCCCTAGGCCTCCTCAAAGGGGTGGTCAGGCAGGTATGTAAATGCCAGAGACTGTTGATTGGGGTGGAGGTGAGGTACTCTGGGAGCATTACAGCTTGGTGTGGAAATCAGAGAGGCATATAAACAGTGCCTTTGTAGAGTGTGCCAGTGGTGTGGTATAGTGGTTATGGATGCTGGTATAATGGTTTGGAGCTGGAATATCTGGGTTTGATCCCAGCTCTACTACTCACTACATGTTTGTCCTTGGGCAAGTTACTTAACTTCTCTGTACCTCATTTTTCTCATTTGCAAAATGTCAACCTCACAGATTATAAAAACAAATGACTTGATCTGTGGATCTCTCTTAGAACATAGAAAGTGAATGCTCAGGAAATCACTCACCATGAGCTCTGCTCCACCAAGGTAGGGCTCAGGCAGGGCAGCTCTGCACTCTGAGGGTCTGGTGATTCAAATGCTAAGGGAATGGAGCTTTTTCGAGGAGACACCACACCTGTGGCTGGCTGAGCTATGTGATGTCAGGCCAGGAAGTGTCTTGACTTCCTGTGTGAATGGTTGTCATTTTCCAGGCTCAGTTTTCTGGATAGGCAGGAGACAGGAGCAAGAGGATATCCTGTCCATAGTTTCTGGCTGGCAGGAGCCCAGGCACACTGAAAATGGGGCTGAGGTGAGGGGGGATTTGGTGTGTAGGAAAATAGCAGGAAAAGGGCACAACTTATGGGATGTCAAAAAGACTCCCAGAATCTCCAGATAATTTTGCCATGCCAAGGAGCCTGCTGGGCCAGTACTGTACGTCCTACGTCAAGAGCCAAAGGTATCACCCCTAGGGGATTTGGGGGACTGGACACTATGTTGGTTAAATTCACTTTTCAAGTTTCTAGAGAAAATGGTACGGCTATTGCCGTCCCTTTCAGCAGCTATCTCTTTGCTAATCTTCTGCCTCCAGTGTCACCTTTATCCCAGTAACTGTTGGTCTTCTGGTTGGTAGGGTCTTTCTAAAACAGAAGCCTAGTCATGTCCTTCCTTCGCTTAAAACCCCTCAGTGGCTCCAGATTTCCTGTAACGTGGCATCGCTTACAAAACCCTGCAAATTTTGCTTCACACTTGTCTCTTACTCTTTCTCTCATTCTGCCTTCTGGAAGCCCTACCTGCCAGTTTAAGGTTCCCCACAATGCTGCATTCACTGTTTCCCCCATGGGGTTCCCTGCTTCTTCCCCTTACTGATCCTTCTTGGCCACCAGATCTCCATGTAAGTATCACTTTCTCCTGGAGGCTTTCCCCTGAACCAGGTGCCATAGTACTGTTCTGTGACTACAGTCTGGCTTTTGCACTGGACTTAAGCTCCAGGAGGAAGAGGAAGGATGCTGTCTTCTTAGCAACTGGCATTTCTCCAACACTGCCTCTGGGGCAGAGCTGTTATGAGAGCTTTCTGTCTGAATGTCTCCTCCTTAAGATTCCAGGGGTTATGGGACCTTAGGGCCTTTGTGGATGAGGGCTGAAGTTTGAATGCCTGTATGGGAGAACCACGGATCAGGGCTAAGACTCCTCCAAGATGGTGAAATCCAGGAATAGTTCCATGAATTGGTCACAGATCGGCTTATCTGGACCTTACAGGGCCCGGTTGGTAGGGTGATAGGTTTTCAGCCTAAGTCCCAGACAAAGAGGCAAAGACAGTAGCATATTGATAAAAGACATCACTGCTGGCACAAATCTGCAAAAGCCTAAGATGAGCAGTCTCTTTGTTTTTCTGGTCTACCAAGATCTTCTAAGGCTCACGTCAGAAGCCTTTGTGTTACCCAAGTATCTCTTGTGCACAGATGGGAACACCCACCATCTGTTTACTTATTCTAAGAAACAGCAAATCAAGGGTTTCAACCATGGTATGCTGAGACCTCCCACAAAACATTAACTCAGGAAGGAGCCCCAGGACTTTAGCAGAAGCCTCACAGAACTTCAGAGCTCTTGATGGAACAAGAAACAGGTAGTTCTAGGAGTGAATGACAGAGAATGGCTTACATCCTTGGGGAGTCATTTTTCTTTGGTTAGGTCCAGAGGGAGGCACTTTCCCTCTCCCAATGCAGGGAACACCTCTATTATATGGCCTTGAATGGACAGGGTTGGGAAAAATAATGTCATACTCAGAGCAGAGGAGCTATGACACAGATTTAGAGGCCTAGGAGTTTAGGGGAAATACTCATTATCCACAAATAGGCTGTGGGTTCAACCTTGGATCTGAGAGGAAGAGTGAAGCCAAATGACATCACATAAACGTCATAAATAGAAATGTGCAGCATCAAGTACCAAGAATTGTGGGCAAGGCCTGGTGTGGTGATGCATGCCTATAATCCCAGCACTCAGCAGGCTGAGGCAGGAGGGTTGCTGAGGTTCAAGGTCAGCCTGGGCTACAAAGTGAGTTCAAGGCCAGCCTGAACTGCATAGTGAAGCCCTGTCTCAAAAAGACAAAAAAGGTGCCACAGGTATAGCTCAGTGGCGCAGTACCTGTATGGCAAGCATGAGGTCCTGAGTTTGATTCTAGGTACAAAAAAAAAAAAAGACAAAAACAATTATGGGCAGAAGGCTCAAGTGGCATAGCACTTGCTCAGCATGCATGAGGTTTCAGCTTCCATCCCCAGCGCTGCCAACAAAAACAAAAAAGTAGGTTGGAATGGAAGCTAAATATGGGGACTTCAACAGGTAGCATAGATGATAAATGGTGGCCAAGTCACAACCATAGTCCCAGGGTACTGCAGCGGTCATGTTGGGGGAGTGGCTGACCCAGCCCAGCCCCAGAACTTGATCTGCATCGTGCCCTGGATTGACCCCTCTCCATCCTCTCTTCCACCAGGCGCCTAGATGCCAACCTCATCTCCCTGGTCCCGGAGAGGAGCTTTGAGGGGCTGTCCTCCCTCCGCCACCTCTGGCTGGACGACAATGCACTCACCGAGATCCCTGTCAGGGCCCTCAACAACCTTCCTGCCCTGCAGGCCATGACCCTGGCCCTCAACCGCATCAGCCACATCCCTGACTTCGCCTTCCAGAACCTCACCAGCCTTGTGGTATTGTGAGTGCCTCCCTAGCCCCATCCTGGCTGGTCCTGCTGGGAGCTGCGCACCTTCTCCAGTTGGATCAGAAGCCCGGCTGGCTTTGCTCCTCTCTGCATGCTGCTGAATCTTCTAGTCTCAGTTTCTCCTTTGTAGAAGGATGAGGATGAAGGTCCTCCGCTGACTCCCGTAGGACTATCATGAAGCCAGATGACCTCAGATCTGTAGAAGTATTCTGAGGGTCACCAAAGGGCCAGAATGTTATAAGCAAAAAGCTGGAAGTAAGCTATTATTTTCTCACTAGGCAACTAGAATAACCATATCATGCTAATTAAAATATAAATCAAGAATTTCTTAAATAATTTCCACCATATTTGACAGTCAAATGATACACTCATATGCCTTGGCACAGGGATAGGATAAATTTGCCTTGTCTCCCAGGCCTAGAGAAGCAGAGAAAAGCCATCACCTGTAATTAGACAGCAAAGCCTCGTCAGGATAATTACTTGGGAGAGAGCATCCCTGGCAGGAATTGGGGACTGGGGTTAACTCTGCCTACCCAGTGGGAACTTTACAGTGCAAATTAGCTCCCAGCTAATTGCTATGAATGATTGGTAAGTTCATAGGGTAATTACTAAGGGCTTGGAGGTCATGTGTAATTGCTTTGGGTTTCACACTAATTGCTGCAGGAACATGGCTGAGGAACATGTGTGTTAGTGACTCTGCTAAATGAGAACATTGCTTCCCCTGTTCGTGGGAATCTGCCGCGGTTTTCCAAGCCAGGGAACAGACAGTGCTTAGTTCCATTTGAGAGATGAAAAGGCAGGCACCAATTTGTTTGTCTAATTCTCTGTCCTGGGAGAGCGGGCAACCAAGACGAATATCCTCATAGAGCACATTTGTCTATCAGGACATTGTTGTGGGAGTCAGCAAGCTACCTGTAGAAGGTCAAAGGAACAAGGTGGTTCATTTTAGCCTTGGGGATGTCCCTGTGATGTCATGAGGGAATGGGGTCAGTTCTCCATGAGGGACAAGACTGGATAAGTGAGAACTTCATGATGGGTCCCAGACATATGGGCAGGAACAGCACTTAGAGAGCCCTACATGAGCACTGGAGGTCACAGGATGGAGCAGAGCTACTGCCCTTGCCCTTGATGTGTTTATAGTCTAGCGGAAATAGCAGAGCAAAAATGGTGGATGTTCTCTCAGGATGTTGTATAACTTACAGGAACATAGCCAAGTGAAAGGAAAGCTTCACGGTACCACAGGAGTGGTAGGGAAGCTGAGGCAACAAAAAGCCAGGCCAGTGAAGAGCCTTTATGGGCAGGTGGAGCTGTGGCTGGGCCTGAAAAGATGGTGCAGTTAGACAAGCACGGAGAATGAAAGCATTAAAGGCCCTGGAGGGGAAGCCAGGGCAATTTGCTTGCCAGCATAGGCCATTCAACCGGAGCCGAGGGCCCCGGGCAGTGATGGGAGAAGAGACCAGCAAGGCAGGGTTCATAGCGTCAGGGGAGAGTTTTGCTTTTGTCTTCAGGGTTGAAAGTTTTCAAGCAGAGTGGAAAGGAGGTCTTTCAAGAAGATTACTGTGAAGGGTGGATGGGAAGAAGGAGAGACCAGAGACGGGAAGATCAGTTCAAAGTCTCCTTATGTGTCAAAGCTCAGTTTAGGGAGGCAGCAGAAAGGATGGACAGGAAGGCATGACTGTGAGGGGTATTTGGAAGGAAGAATTAATCTGAGTTAGAGGTTTTCGGAGGGTGGAAGACCAAGGAGAAAGGGAACCATGGGAGATTTAAAGGTGTGGTTGAGAGGCAGGGGCCTGGCCTGACAGCGGGCACATCAGATATCTGGGAGGCATAGGTTTCCCTAAGGATGGACAAGGGACTAAGGAAAAAGGAAAAAACAAAACACACTGGTACAAGAGCAAAGCTGAAGCAGAACTAGGCTGTTTGCACAGCCTAAAACATCATCCTAGAAACATCACCCCTTTGTTCTTCACTCATGGCATGGAGAAGGGGCCTTTGAAAGGGAGAGGAGCCTGGGGACACTGTCTGGGATGTGGGAGAGCTTGTTAGGAAGGCCCTGGAGGCAGAGAGGGAAGACAGGACATAACAGGAAGCAAGAAGGAAGCTTGGCGAGAGCCCAGGGGTAGACCGAGGCCTATCCTGAGCTATGAGCAGATAAGCCTGGTGGAAGAGCTTCTTTCTTCTTGGACTCCATGTTCTCATCAGAGACCTGCATGAAGAACTCTCTGATGTGTGTGGAACTCTTTCCCACCGCGGCTGTGGCACTGATGGGGTCACTAGGCGGTACTGCACTGACAGCTGTGGTGTCCTATGTGCAATTATGTCTCTGTTTTGGACTAAAGCCCTATAACCTCCCCATGCTGGGCTACTGCAGGTGCCCAGGACACCAGGGCTGACTGAGGGGTTTGTAGGAGGGACTTGGAGGCCTGGCACTGGATGTCTGAATGCTCAGATGGTCTGGACCAGAAGTGATGGGGGACAGCAAGGAGGTGGAAAGTGAAGACAAGAGTTCAACAGAAAATGGGATGAGTTGGGACAAAGATGTGAAGGAAATGGGGAAAGTAAAAACCCCTTGGTAAAGGGAGAATGTTTTACAAGGGACTGTGTTTTCCCTCCTGTTTATCGGAAGCCCCTCAGAGGGAGGGGTCTTCCCCGATAGAGCAGGTAGGGATGGGAAAGACAGCCAGAGCTTTAAACCCCAACACTCACAAGACTCCCATCCCTCCTATATATGCTGGAGGAGCTTCACCTAGTGCCTCTATATCCGAGAAACCTCTTGGAGGCCTGTCTGTGTTGTATCCCTTGTAAGTGATTTCTTTTTTCTTCCTGAAGATGTTTTTACATTCTTGAATTTTAATAGCAAAACTCTAGTATGTCACAGTGTAGAATATTCTGCATCCAATTTTCCTGGAATAATGATGTGGAATAATGTATGCTTTTGAGCTGCAGATTCTGTTCTTTCTTTCTCCCAAAGAATTCTTTTGTATTGTCTCTGACTATATCTTCAGTCTTATTTTTTGAATCTCTCCCTCAGAGACATCAATTACTCCCCTGTTCAACCACCTTTGTGTCTTTCACGCTGATCAGCTACTAACTGTTTTCTTTTGTCTCATTCTGCTACGTTCACTGCGATCATCTCAACTTCTCTTGCTGAAATCAGGTCAACTTTCTCCAGTGTCTACCTTCCTCCTTGTTTTAAATGTGTTGACTGGTTTTTAAATAATGCCCTTTTCGGCCTCAGTTTGTTTTCTTAATCTACAAATTCATTTTTCTTACATTTAAAAAGCTTTGTCTTTGAAATCATGTTGGATTGCTTTGTAGCAGAAGGCACTTCTGGTCAATTTCTGCCTGCTCCTCATTCATAAGTTCTGTTTTCCTCTAGGCTTGGAACTTTGCCTATCTGTCGCATCCTCCCTTCATTTCCCTCTGCTGTCCTGTTGTATATTTTCACAATTTCCCTGAGATCTCTTTTCTCTGGCTGTGCTTGGGGAGCCCTGTGTCCTTGTACTTGCTGCACCGCCTTCGGGCTTCTCTGGATCTCCCCTCCACGCTGCAGTGTGTGGGCTAAGTACCGAGGGTGACTCAGGTTCCGTCTGCCTTTCTGTACCCTGCTGGGATGGAGGCAGGAGGGGTGCTCTGAGGCGATGCCCAGTCTTCATTAGGCTACCTGCACTCTGCTCCCTCTCCCAGATGTATTAAATGGGTGCATTTGCTCCCTCTGCCCATGAAGGCCCTCGGCTTCAAGCCATTCCTCTGTTCACGGAGGAGCCTTTATTTCACTATTTCACCTGCTCCTATTGGGAACCAGAAGTAGACAGGAAAAATAAGTATTCCTACGTATTACTACTTTGGATTTGGGGGGCTTAAAGGAGAACGCTCAATTTTGTTTTCCCACAAGTTCATTTTCTGGGGGAAGAAGGCTGATGAGGTCCAGAATGTTTTCCTGGCCACCAATTTTTGCAGTGTACTTGTAGTAAGCTGTGTACGTTTCAGGGGACTTTGTGACTATGTGTGATATTTGGGTCTGGTTCTGCTGTTTTTCTATTAGGAATTGGAAGAAGAAAATCCTGTCCCTTATTTTCAGTTAGTATTTATCTCAGACATCTCTTCCAAATGGATCTCATTCCCCTCCCACACCTGCCCCGGCCAAGCCCTTCCCCAGCTGCTGTGCTCCTTCCCAGCTCCCCACCTCCGTGCATACTCTTCCCTCTGCCTAGGGGGCCCCTCTCTCTGCTTGTGCAGCTCACCGACCCCTCAAGGCCCTGCTCTAGATCACGACCTCCGTGAAGCTTTCTTTGGTTCTTCTGGCTGCACCCTTCTCCCTGTTCTCTGAGCTTGTCCACAGATTTCTTCATTTGTTACAGAAAGCTTAGCCTTTAATTACATGTTGTCTGCAGTGGTTTGCTGTTGGCTTCCTAAGTATGTCTGGCCACTGAGTCAGGCCGGCTGGGTCCTAGGGCTCAGAGCCATGAAAAAAGCCTCAGACATCATGGAAGAGCCTGTGACATCAGTCTGCTGCCTAGTGCTTGCTTTTGCCTTGGCCTGGGCTCTCCTCTCCCTTTTTTAATAGGAAGTCAAAATCTGCAGCCTGTGGGTAATGTAGCCCTGGTAGTGTTGGCTTCACAGGTCTGACTTGGACACTCTGTTTGTCCCTAGGGACAAAGGATTAGACCGCCGGTGTCATTCTGTCCATGTTTCTGCCTTCGCTTTGCTACTCGCATGCCACTATGTGCTCTCGTCTGCCTTGGGTCCTGATGCAGTGGAACTCATTCTGTCTCTCCTTCCCACTCAGGCATCTGCATAACAACCACATCCAGCATCTGGGGACCCACAGCTTCGAGGGGCTGCGCAATCTGGAGACACTGTGAGTGTGTGTGTGTCGGCGGGGCGGGGGGGAGTCTTGCTCAAAGTAGGCCTGCCTGGCAATGAGACCCCAAATCCTGGAGTGGATATGGGTGTGGGAAGGGCCAGCAGGACTAGGAGGCTAGGACCAGACCCCAGGTGTGCTCCCTTGTATGCTCCTCCCTGGTACCTTCCTTAGAATGTCACTTGGGATGGATCCTTCCTCCTTCGGGTGGGTGGGCAGAAGTGTCCTGTGGGCCTTCAGAGTGGTCCAGACTGTGGAAATCTAGGATCCCTGCCAACAAAGACCACCAAAAAAGGCATAGAAAGGAGAAGCTGGAGGAATTAGAATATTAAGCCTGAGGGCTAGAAGGCGCGGGGGTGGGGCTGGGGCTGACTTGATGGCAGCTTTGACGTCTGTTTAAGGGTGGCTGCTGACAGAAGGGAGAGTAATATCACAGAGTAATGTCAGTATTGTTTGCCAACTGATCTAACTAGCTAAATGATTAATGGGGAGATGGACCACTCAGTGCTCCAGCCTAACTATAAAAAGCACCCAAGCTGTTGACTCTTAAAAAGCCGTATTATTCACACATCATCATCCTGGAATCCAGTTAAGGTCAGAATGCACCCAAGCCCTCCCATCACTTCCTCTGGAGTCCTGCCAGCCCCTGCAGAATGGGCCGAGTGGGCCCCAACTGAGCAAACAATTGGCCAGGCGGTGGAAGGGTGGCTGGCCATACCAGCTGGGGTCTCTCAGCTCCCATGGGGGAGCTGACTGCCACTGCCAGCTGGTGCAGGCCTGGAAAGGGGGCACTAGGGAAAGAAGGACCCCCAGACCACTGAGTGAGAGTCATCGCATGTGAGGAAGGGCTTGCAGCATCAGGGGATGGTCGTAGTTCCTCCTCTACATCTCCCCCTCCACTCATGGCCAAGCCCCCTTCCACATGCAGTCTAGAGCATCGCTCCTAAGTGGAGGGATTTTCAAGAATCCAGAGCAGCAGGGGAGAAAATGCCCAGAGACTGGGACATGACTATTTGGCAAAGCTTATCAATAGAGGCCTCACCTGTCAGCATTTGTGGCTGTGCAGGGAAAGGGGGTGGGGGGCTGAGACCAAAGCTCTGCTCCTCCCTCCGGTGGGGTGGGGGGTTCTCAGGAGCATGGCTGCTCTCAGGGACTTAGCCTGTAGCAGAAGAAATGGCAGGTTCTCTGGCATGGTTCTGGCATAGCTGGGCATGGTTCTCTGGCATCCTCATCCTCCAGCCAACTGAGTGCTGAGAAGTAGGGTGTGGGTGATGTGCCCAGCCTGGACACTGGGACCTCTTTCTGCTGCTGTGCATGCCATGAGCTGTGTATCTTGCTCCCTAGCTGTCACAGACATCTGGGTAGTTAAAGCTAACAGTTTGGCTTACCCGACCACTACAGGAGGAAGCTAATATCCAGGGAGGTGCCACGGTTCCCCTGGGGTGACTCCCCAGGTATGGACAGGGCTGATCCAGGGTGTGTGAATGAGAAAACATACATGAAGTCCCTAGGGCAGTGGCTGCCAGTGTCACCTGGTCAACTGTGAATTGTGTGAGCTTACTTTGTGCTAAGTTTGGGGAGGTTCCTATATATGAAAGAGCATCATTTCCTAGAAAATCCCAGGCCGCCATGGCCTTCTGCAGGAGACACAGACACTCCCAGGACAGTGCTTGGTTGCCATTCATCGGCAGGGCAGGAGGGAGTCCAACGCCATCATCCCTGGAATGTGGGGGCTGTTCGCTCTGCTGGGAAATCAGGTGAGGGGGGGACATACACTGGGCGTGGCTTGGCACCTCTAAATAGCCAACAAGCAGCTGTTTCTTCACTTTTGGGGCGCTCTGCCTAATTCTTTCTCAATTAGCCACTGGATTACTGTGTAGGGCATTTGGCTCAGCTGGTGCTGGCTGCATTACAGAGCAATCCTGCCGCTAAGCGCCTGCTGTACCTTTCATCTATCTACAGGAGGGCTTGGCTTTATCATACACAGCCTAGGGCTGTGCCCACTTTACAGATGGCAAAGCCAAGACCAAGAGACAAGGAAAAGTTCTCCTACTCTGCAGTGCAGAGGCAGAATAGCCTGGTGACAAAGCCGTTGGCACCAAACAGCCTGAGGTCCAGTGCCAGTAATACCAGCTGTGTGATCTTAGTCAAGTCATTCACCTCCATCTCAGTTTTCTAATCTGCAGCATAACACCGCTAGTAACACCGACCTCACAGGGCCGACGTGTACATTAAATGAGATGATGTGCACGAAGTTATTATGGAGCCTGGCAGCTGTATAGGAACCTTCCCTAGGCCCCTATCTCCTTCCCCGCCCCCTCCTCTGGGACCTCCATCTAACAACACTCCTTTCTTCCCAACCCTTGAGGGGTAAACCCTTCTTCCAACTTTTGATCTCCAATTAAAAAGTGGGGGAAAGTGTGTGTTCTTTATCCTCTATTCCCCAGAGCATTGCTGAGGAGCCTGCAGGGGAAGCCAGATGTGGAGAGGGGAGGAGTGGCTGGGAGAATGAAAGGAGAAAGAAATGATAGTCAACCCCTTTAATTGTTGCATAATTGGCACGCTCGGCAACCTCAGTTATTACTCTAGAGCTTTCATGTGAGCTTCTCACTGGAAGGGTATTTCTCCCTCGGGCCCCGTAAATCTCTGCCACTTAGACCTCTCTCATCTCTGGCAGCAGAGGGAAGATCAAACCCCCACGGCCCAGGCTGTGGTTTGGCTCATCTGCAGACTCCTCTCTGGGGGGAGCTCGGCTCCCAGCCGTACCACCTGGGGAGGAGGGGCCGGGTGCGGGCACGCACACGCGTGGCCACACAGGCATCCAAAACTACACACAGGTAGCATACCTGCTGCATGGGTCCTGCTCTCTGTGGTCCTCTGTCTGCACAGATACCCCTGCCCCACTCTCAGCACTGTCCGGAGATACCCTCCACAAATGCATCTGTGGTTATACAGATGCCCTTATGCCCTCCGCTCTGGGACCGGGCTGCCGGGTTCCAGCCCCAGTCTCTGTCTGCAGGCTGGGTCAGCCGGAGCATGTGGCCTCAGCTCTAGGAGCCTCACTTTCTCCGGCTGTATAGTAGGCTACCTCAAAGATGAGGGGTAAAGGAGAGAGACTTATTCATGTTGTCTTTCACTCCCAAGGAGCCAGTGCTTTGAGCAGGGTCCAGGGCTGAGTATTACTATGCCCTCTCTTTCTGGGGCTGAACAAATCACTCAGATGCCACTCCAACCTTTGGGTGACAAGCCTTGCTTTGCCTTGAGGAGCCTGACCTCACCAGAAGAAGCCTCCTGGGACCTTCCCATGTAGTCGTCACCACTCCAGACTTTGCAAAGAAACCTCAGGCAGAAGCAAACAGGACGTTCTCTGTCCTGCACCCACAACTCCCCTCCACTCCCACAGCGAGGATGACCCACACTTGCTGGGAAATTTGCACTCAGAAATGAGCTAGCCCTCAGCCTATAAAGTTGCACTTCCAGAGCAGACTCAAAATTTGTCTGAGTTGCTCTAGTTTGTAAGTGACAGGAAACCTCTAGAATGCATCCCTCTGGCCTCATAGTACATAGCTCCATTTAGCATTAACCCCTCAAGGACAGAGCAGTTGCAGGACTACATAAGATTGTCAGTTGAGGAATAGGAGAGGTCATGATGAAGAACAGTCCTGGGAAGGTTCTACAAAGAGGTGGCAGAACTTGAGGCCAAGGTGCCAGGGCCCCTAGGTCAGTGCTTAGGATTACAAGCGTGGAGGCCACCAGCAGCTGTCCTAGCCTGATAGCTAGTGATCCTCAAATTCCTAACATACCCACCAGCAGCAATTTTTGCAAAGAAATAGAAAAGAACCAATCAAGGTCTAGCAACTCCAATTGTAACCCAAGGGCCTGCTCTCACTCCTCCAAGAGGTGCTTGATATCTGCACCTCAGCTAGAACCAGAGGATCAGGCTGTGGTTCAGGATGTCTGGAGACAAGAGCTCCGCCCTTCCTCGTGCCTGGGTGATGATCTCTGTGCCTTGTTATAACCTCATTAAACAAATCAAGCCCAACTGGAGCCCTGTGCTGGCTGGCTGTTCCCTTTGGAGGACAGCCTGGGGCCTTAGTAAGAACAGAAACCTTCTGGTGCCAGTGCCTCTAAATCAAGACCAGCATTCAACAGGAGTCTAGAAGGGGAGAAGAGCAGGGCAGGAATTTATAGAATTCCTCCTGGCTGTACAAAACTGTACATAACACGTCAGACCTCCTCTAGTGACAGATGCTTCAGCGATCTGTTGCTTTGGGATGTTTTTACTTCAACAGCTGTTGTAACTAGAAAATGTCCCCAGTCTCTGTGACATTGAAACCACAAATACCAACACGTTTTACTCTTGACTGGCTTGGACTTGGCCCTGAAAGTATCTGGCCATCACTCACTCCTGGGCCTGATGGTCAGTGACTTTGGCTTGGAACGGGGCCCCAAGCTATTTCCACTGAGGTCCTTCCAGATATGGGGCTTCCTGGGACAATCAAGCATTGATCTTGAATTGACAGACCTGGATTCAAGTCCTGGTTCTGCCACTAGTGTGTGACATGTACAAGTCACCTCTCAAGAGCCTCAGTTTCCACAAACAGAGAACAAGGATGCTAATTTACAATTCAGGGGACTGTTGCAAGCAAGGGTCACATTACTTGAGATAATTTACGTAGTGCCTGGGATGCTGTAGGTGCTTAATATATGGTGGCTTTCTCTGTCCTCTCACTTCACATTTTTTTGATAGGAAATTAACAGCGGGTGTTGTATTACAATTTGTTATCTTCAAATTGGCTACCCTCTCATTTAACATTGGATGGAAGGCATCTGAAGGTGGCCAGGAGGGTATTACCCAGAAGTGTCATCTCACAGCAGTCCAGGCTGTGACTCATCTCCTCCGTAGGGTGAATAGGAATTCCCAGGCTGCTGTGGTTGTTTCCTGTGGCTGCTATAACAAAACACCATGAATTTAAGAAAACACCAAATTACTCAAC